CATGCGCAAAATATGATCGTGGTTTTGCGCAGCTTGTCTGTGAACAACGGCTCTGTGTAGTTAATGCTGCTCAATGTGAAAGCACGCACGTGATGGAGATTTACCGCTGATTACAGAACCAGCTTTCTGACAAGATGCGCGTTAAATATCGCATGCGATTTATCGTGCAGCCCTAATTTGAACCTTTGTTTTTTTGCCAAAACATCATCCTTTGTTAGAACTGAGATTAATCAGTTGCAGTCGGTACAAATGCGTACCGAACCAAGGTTGGTGAACGGTACGGTTCGGTCTTTTACCGAGAACCGTTGCACCCCTAGTATGTATACACACACAGTAATAAAAAGTAATATTTACCTAAATATATTTTAATAAACATGAAAAATGTCACACTAAGACATCCATGAACATTGACTTGGATGCAAATGACTCAGATTATTTATGTTTTGAATCAGGACAATCTATGTAAACATTAGTAGGTAATTATTATTATTATTTTATATCCAACTTATAAACCTATAACTTAAAGGGGTCATATGATGCTGCTAAAAAGAACATTATTTTGTGTATTTGGTGTAATGAAATGTGTTTATGCGGTTTAAAGTTAAAAAAAAAACATTATTTTCCACATACTGTACATTATTGGTTCTCCTCTATGCCCCGCCTTCTGAAACGCGTCGATTTTTACAAAACAAATAGAGGATCCGTACTCCATCATCAGCAGACATCTTCAGCTTTTCAAATGGGTAACTGAAGAGAGGCTGTGCCACAGAGCTGTCCTCTCCATCAGCTATAACAGAGAAACCTCGCTCATAGTGAATGACCAACCGACAGTCCTGAGCCTGATACATACAACCTGAAGAAACAAACACAAAGAATATTCTGAATTAAATACAGCCATCACGATTACCATAAATAATTACTTTGAGTTGTCATACCAGAGGGTTAAAAAGCAGACGTGAAGCAAATATTAAAGTAAGTACATTTTCATTATTATTATTATATGATCATTAGATCCGTGAAACTGTCTAAAATTGTCCTATTGAAATGCAACTACGACGAGTTGATGAAATTCTTCCTGCATCTACATGAAAGTTATTCATGTAGATGCTTTCACATTTCTGATATTAAAGGCTTGGGTACAATTTCATAATAAAATAGGTTTTAAAAGTACTATAACAATACAAATAAAAATGAATAAATACAGTAAGAGTTCAAGTACTAATGGAATTGCCTTTCTGGTTGATCAATCCAAGCAAATTCCATTAAGGTGCGACTAAAATGAAAAAGGATTCCATTTGTGAGATAAATGTCCTTTGATTCGCCTGATAATTGGTACATTATTCATCACCAGTAATCTCTACTCAATACCTCCCTGGCTTCATCAAATACATCACAGGACTCCATGTATCCAGTATCACCCCTCCAATACATTCAATTACAGCTCATCAGGCACCACAGGATTTGTGGAAACCTACTGTTACCGTGTCTATTGTGAGTGTGCCAGTGATCCACTTCTGCTGTCCCCTCCATTTGCCCCAATAAAGCTTCCTGAATCTCTCTTTGACTTGGTAATTGCGAGGCTAGTGTGTTCTTTTCACATTGTGTGTCTTTGAGAAACCCCTCAGCTCTGGCTACAGCCCAGTCCATTAGGCTGATTAGATCATCACAGCAATGAAAAAGCATCTTCTTCTGCAATTTACCCATTAAATTGGAATTACACTGACATGAAATACTCAAACACCTATTAATTACACACTCTGGGTGAGGGGTTCCTAAAAAGGGGATTTTGGACTACTGTTCCCATGTTGCTCTTAACAATACTGTAACCTTATCCCCATCAAAACAGCTTGATCTTCAGGACTGAGGGACTCTTTCCCACCAGATGGGCTTTTAGTCAGTCACAAACAGCCTCTCTTTCAGCATCAACAGCTTAGCATAGGAATTTTGGGGCCTCTCAACTACAATAACTTTGTTATTCCAAATAACTTTGTTATAACAAATAAGACATAACTTAATAATTTAAGTTATTAATTCAGTAACTCTACAATAATGTACAGTATTTTAAAAATAATGTGTTTTTTGGACATTAAAGCATGTCAACATATTCGGTTACACCAAATACACAAAATAATGATCTTTAAAATAGCATCACCCCTTTAATGTTCCTCATGTGTCTATGCAGGCTTATCTTTACCAAATTAATAATAACAACACATTTACTTTATATAATCTTTTAGTAAACATGAAAGTACTTCTAAACAGAACAAGAAAACCAAATAATAGAATCCATCCACTACAGATACTATACTATAAATGGAGCCAGAAAATTGTTGCTGTATTGGGCCACTCAAATTAAAGATGAAATGTGGAAAGCGCCACAGAGCCAATGTTAGAAGTTTTAGGGAAATTAACCAACAAATGGCTTACTTACAATTTTGATTTATTAATACATTATGTATCTATTACATTGTTTTTATTAGTATTAGTAATTATATTTATTAAAAAATATTTTAACAGCAAAAATATTACACAAAGCATTTGACATCTACTAACCATTTTTTATACTCATCTACACGGAGTGCAGTCTATTCAGTGAGCCATCAATTAACAAATAATAATAACTATAACTGCAAGCTGCAATTAAGGGGCCAAACACAACAGAGGTCAAATGAATAGCTAAGGAGCTATCTTTAATTATTGACAAATTTCATAATTTTCCTATAAGTGGTTCTATACAATTCATAAGATTCATAACAACATGCTAAACGTTTGTAAAATATAGCATTTTGCTACAAAATTCGAAATGGTCCATGCTCAGAATGGCTGACATAGGAAAATTGGGTATCGTATGATTCGATATGCTGTTCCGAATCTAATGACACTGTTCAGAAATTCTAAACAAAAAAGTACATTTTGACCAGTAGGTGGTACTGTTCTGAAATGCTTGGTATAGCACGTACCAAGTTTGGTCATATACTTAAGCATTGCGAAGACAGCCTCATGTCCATTTTTGTGTGAATTGTCATGCTATTCGGCCCGAATCAGTTTTCTAAAGTGTTTTTGAAAAATCACTTACTCTGCCTTTAATGTACTTTATGAGAATGGTTTGATGTATCAGAAATCTTTTGATAACTTTTGCCAGCATAATCTGAATATGATCTGAGCCAATTTTGGCGAAAATCAGAAAAACTGTCTAGGACGAGTTTGAAAAAGCAGGTTTTTCGCAAAATTCAAAATTGCGAAAAATCTTGATGTGTAGAAATTTAAATTTTGGTATGCGTTTGACTCGGCATGAACCAAGGAATCAGAGGAAAAAGAATTTTGCTTCTAGAACATATGCTTCAAAACCTATTAGCAGAAATACGAGTGCACATTGGGCTATTGGTGGCATTAGAGAGTTTGAGATAGAGACTCCAAATTTGCTATGGTTAATATTAAGACTGTCCTCTATCTATGTGCCAAATTTCATAACTTTCCCGCAAGTGGTTCTATGGGCTGCCATAGACTCCCAGAGCAGCAGAAGAAGAAAAAAAGACTAAAACTAATGGATACAATAGGTACCTAAGCACCTTTATTGCTTGGCCCCTATTCAACTGTATTACATTCTCATTTGGCCTTAGGTTTGCTTCTAATAATTTTTTGTTGACTTATCATCATTCCAGACTAAAACAGGATTTTAGAGTCTTGTGGTCAGCAATAAAAAAAAATATATGACACACAAAACCCCATGAAAAGAGAACGAAGAGAATGAATCTTTGGAGACACAAATGCTCTGAACAGATTATAAGATTAGACTAAACACAGGTAATAGAGCATCAGCTGCCAAATGGGCCTTTCCCATAAAATCGCAAATATGGAGCAGTTCCAAGATCCTGACGCAAACAGGATCTTTTTAAGGGAACAAATATGTCAAATCCAGTCTAACGTGTTATTCGACGATCTGGATCTGTTGCTCTTTCCTACAAACTCAAAGTAATTATCTTCTCCCAAATGTATTAATTAGAGAGTGACGTGTTGTAACAAGGCCAGTCTATTTTTATTGTGTTTCTTTCAGAAGCTTTCTCACAGCACTGTTAACATGCTTAACTCATGACAGTAAAATCAACATTAATCATTGCTCAGTTTAATCTCGGCCTACTTGCCATTCCAGCTTTGTAGGTTAAGTAGAAATTATCTCAAAGCCTGATCTCAGAACAGTGAAAATATCTGACAGAAAGGGAAAACCGCAAAATATCCAAATAAGGCACGGTGATCTCCAGGGGCTCACTTGCAGTTCAGTAACAGCAGATACATTTCCTATCAGTGCAGGCCCAGGGACTGCCTGAGAGCTTCAATTCCCAGAATGCTTTGCTCGGTGCCCCTCGCCTGCTGCATTGAGACCACACAGGAACTCTGCCATGGCATTCCATTCTAAAAATACACTCTTTACTTAAACGACTTCAGTATGAATAACGCACATCCAAAACTCAGAAATATTGTAGTGCAGCACAGAACGTTTTTGAATTGACTGTACAGTTGGAGCCATGGACCGCGACCTCAGACGACTGAGACGCATTTATCTTTGCATGGAAGCTTGCGAGTACCCACAAATCTACATTTGACATAAGTATGTGTTTAACATTTAAGAAACTACAGCGGTAAAACTAATGTAAACACATCAATGCGCAAGAAAATAAATGAGATCCTGGGCCGACATGGATCAACACTTGTTGCAAAGTTCCAGACTACTACTAACTAAAACAGAAAACAAACTGTTGCCACAGAGAAAAATATTCTTTAAATTAAATAAACCTAATAAATAAGTGACAAATCCTGGTACAATATTTCAGACTCGAGGAGTCCATAAAGATGCAGTTTCATTTTAAAATGTTTTTTTTTCCCAGTTTTAATTTTTCTGGACTCTTTTAATGGTTCAATTAAATAATTTTAAGTATCTAATTAGGCATAATTGAAAACATAAAATTTGTAAAATGTAACAATTTATTAACATTTTTACAATAATAGAGCTGTGAAATGCTTTATGAGTGTATTTATTTTTATACATTCTGTTAGTTTTATTTTTTTCTAGATTTATGATGTAATACAAATGTATTATCAACAACATTGGTAATCAAATAAAGGCATAACACATCTTATGTAAGCAATGTAATCTAATTAAAATGAACTATTTTTTTTTTTGCCAAACAAAGTGCTGCACAATGGGTTTACTGTTAAAATTAAAACATGGAAGAAAAAGTGTATGATTATTCTTAAACAAAAATGGTTTTAATAATTTTATAATTATTACTTTGAGAAGTACATTCTACTGCACGATAGTAATTTATTTCTCTCAAAATTTCAAGTTAAATTGGACTTTTATTTTTTTGTTTAAAGTTTGTGTTCTTGTCATCATATAGTGAGATGGCAGATGCTAAAAAACACACTTCAGTATGTATAGATGAAACAGCAACATTCATTAACTCAAAGATACGCAGACTTATATTTAAATAGCAGTCTTTTTGCGCTTTAATATTCACAGACACTAGTCCATATAGTCAACTTCATGAACTACTTTTATTCATGCAAAATTTGCCAAATTGCATGACATTACACGTTATACAGTAAATTCCATTTTTATGACTGGATTCCACATCTTGGAAATCATATGTACCTACAATTATTTTGCGGATCCCCCACTTTGAGAACCTCTGTTCTTTAGCATCAGTGTGAAAACCCCATTTTGGAACCTTGGAAGAGTGTTGGTGTGAACAGGCCATAAGACCTGTGAAAGGAGCGAGACGTAGGGTCCATACTCACTGGTAGTGACTTCTTTGATCATCTCAGCAGCTGCGTGGCAGCCAGTGACTATGTGTCTGGTCCAGAGTGACAAGTCCTTGCAGGTCTCTGCCCTGAAAAGATGGCCTTCGATACCCAATCTGGTTCCCGTCCGTGTAGCAAAGCACAACTCGCCACCAAGCTGAGGTGAACCCTTATCTGGACCAGAATGCACCAACCTACGATTAAAAACTCAAGATAAGTGCACCATGGAAATCACTAAAAAAAAAAAAAAAAACATTTTCTGGGTATTTGCCATAGTGCTTCTATATAGAAGTGCCTTAGATTACCATGGTACTACTATGTTTCTACCACAGTACTTTATATTATAGGATTTGCATTTCATGATATTTATTCAAGTATTTCAAGGTACCTTAAAAAATATGATAAATGTCAAAATGGTATTAATATGGTACATTTTCAAAAACACAATAGTACCCCATAGAATTTTAGTACCATGGTAGTTATTGTAAGTGTCATAAAACTACTGAATGAACTACTGAGTGAATTTTTCATTTAACATCATGTTTCTTAACATCCATTTGCTGGAATCAGTTTCTCTAAGTTCAGGTTTGATATTAAATAGAATGCAACAGTCGGGCTTCGAATGTAAATTCCCATTCATTTTCTCCATAGGGGAACTGATTTGAGCTGGTTGGTTTTGTTCATGGCTTTTAATGAAGAGTTGACCCCTATGGGAAAAATTAATGGGAAAATACTTCAGCAACCAAGACCGCTGAAGACCAGGCACTGCTGCATCCTATATACGGGCTTTGGATTGGTCCAATGAGTTTTCACCATTGGCGGGGCTGCTCGGCTTGACAGAACTTGAGATTTCACAGAGGAAGTCAAGCCAAAATAAGTTTCGAAAAGTTTTGAGAAAAAGCATGGCAATACTTTCTGCCATTTTGGACAATCTCAGGGTCAACAAAACATTAGCACATGCCAACTGAGCCTGTGATAACTGCCCTATCAGCCCTAGAGTGAGATCTGGGCTGCAGTCCAGTTAAACTTGGACTTCAAATCTATCCCTTGCAGTAATAGCTGCCACCTCATACAGCTTCAACAGGCCTTTAATAGTCATAATGCTTTTGTACTGTTTCTTTCCAACTGGCTGCAGTTGTGTATTTTAGTTCCCAATTGGTCAGCACTGCCAACTGGCATGCAAAAAGTGTGTGTGTGTGTTTGCATGTGTGTGTACAGAGGCGTGTGTTAAACAGAAGGGAGTGCAGGTGTGTGTGCCTTGATTGTTTTTTCAAAGGCGTGTTTGTATGAACGAGCAAAATGAGAGCAGTAACGCTGTGTGTGAGTGTGTGTACCGTGTGGCGAGCAGAGGGTAGGTGTGTGTCGGGCTGAGCCAGTGTTCTCTCATGCGTGGCATACTGTCAAACAGCAGCAGGTCCTTCTCCGTCAACATCACCAGCACTGGCTTCCAGCACTGTCTCTCGCTTTCCGTCTGAAACACACACACACACCATGAGTAACTTGTGAATAGTCTTTCAGGTGCCATATAATTACATTTTGTCCTAATTTTCCTCTATTCATATGAAAGCCTGTGTAAAACGTCAAGCGCAGACATTAAGTCTTTTGTTCATCTGAGAGACTTGTTAATTAACATTGTCAGAGTGGTAAACCTCTCGAGGGTGTCTCTTTTAAGGCCACTTCCTGTGATTAACCACGGCAACTCCAAATACTTTCAGAACAAAGTAAAGCTTCAAAACCATTCAGCCTCTTCAACTTTTACTGATGTATCAGCAAAATGAGCACTTAAGTCCAGAGGTAAATGTGTGTGATGTGATCTGATATGCATATTTTATACTAATGGAATGTACGAGAAACCATATGTAATGTTCAGATGGTCTAAAAAAATGTTACATCATGTTTAAAGCATATCAAGGCAACTCCAAGTGCTTAGTCAGCAACCATGACATGAATTCAAAATGAACCCTGTTTACTGTCTTGATGCAAGTTCCTGTTTCTCACATATAAAACTTGCTGGAAAGTAGGCCTATGTGCACACACAAAAGTTTTTAGATATATAAGACCTGTACAAAGTTTACTTTGAAGATTGTGGGTACATGCACAACCTTCATTTTCCTACCAATCTCCATATGTGGTGCTTTTTTATCATGCATAAACTCATCAGCATATAATTTACATATGCAAAGAGTCCTTGTTGTTCTGTATTAGAAACATTCCTAAAACAAGATAAATTTACCAGAGAAGTAAAACAATACGTCATCTTGAAAGTAAGTTTTCTATTAGAATTAGTTATTCTAACCTCACTGGAAAATATTTTTAACTTTAAAGGGGTCATATGATGCGATTTCAATTTTTCCTTTCTCTTTGGAGTGTTACAAGCTCTTGGTGCATAAAGAAGATCTGTAAAGTTGCAAAGACTAAAGTCTCAAATCCAAAGAGATATTCTTTATAAAAGTTAAGAGTCAACCACGCCTACCTAAAACGGCTCGTTCTAACACACCCCCACATACCTACGTCACGATCTCGGAAGATTTGCATAACGCCGCCCAAATGTGCACGCAAAGAAAACGAAGGCGTAACTTTTATTCTCGCTGAAGTATTGTTGTTGCCGCTGTCGCCATGTCGTGAAGACGCTGTGTGCTTAGTTGTGAAAGCGAAACTACTTTGTTTGGTCTTCCAAAAGAGGACACGACTACAAATCAGTGGT